GCAGTCATTCTTCTGCTGGCTCAGGCTTGGGTTCCAGTATGAATGAATGACAGCTTTCCTCGTGTTCAGTGATCCGAACCAGGAACGGAGGACCAACCTGATTTTACCACTTGTTTCAGGAAATTCTTGCCCAGGAAGACAAAGCCGTAAAGTAGTAAATAACCTCACTGTTAACCTCAGACACTTCATGAAAACCCATTTATTTTGCTCAGGAAAATTGGATACTCAGCTGGGGGAGTATCATGCTTCTTCAGAAAATGGTTTGTCTGCTTGGTTGAGAAACGTTACTTATCAAACAACTATTTTCTTGTGGAGATTCCCCAAGAATCTACCTTCTCTGCGTCTACTCATCCTAAGCTATTGGATGATGAAGACCTCTATGAGTCAGTGGAATCCACATTCCTGTGCCTTATAAATGAAATTTATAGTCAAATGAACAACCCTGTCTGAAATACATGGAGACTGTCTTAAGAAGGCATTCTTCTTTATTTGTTCAGTAAAAACTGGACTTTCCCTAATAATCAGAATTCTCTCTGGGGTATTGGCAGTTCCCTTGGGACTGGCTACCTTTCAAAACAAGGGGGACACCGTCATAAAGGGACCTGCGCATCAGTGCTCACAAAACACCAAGAGGAATTTTTTTTTAGTTGTAAATGGAGACAATACCTTTGTTTTGTTGGTTTATTTTTATGTGATGCTGAGGATTGAACCCAGTTCCTCACACTTGCGAGGCAAGTGCTCTACCACCGAGCCACAGCCCCAACCCCAGGAGGCATTTTTAAAGCAGCATTTTCTGCATCTCTATCCAGCTAAGATTCATAGGCATGATGTCCCCACTCTACACTCTTCAAGGGGAAAGGAGGCACCAGGACTTAAAGTTCCCCCTAGCCAAGGAGTGTGAGTGTGAACTGGGCCGGGGCCACAGGTGCATGAGCATGGGAAAAGGAAACGCAGAACCCCCCTCCCACTCCCACATACACACACACATATGTATATGCCTGCATGTATAAACATATACCCCAAAGTACAGCAGAAATCATAGGTGATTTCATGTTTATACTTTCCATTTAAAATTTGTTCTTTAATGAAGATATCTTCCTGTTCATCAAAGCCATTACAGTTATAACTTCAGGTGCGATAATATGCTGATATAATTCTATCCTGCACACTTCAGAAGATCCCTGGAAAACCTAGAGTTGGGAGTTCATCATTTGTACCAAGTATTAACTTGAAGTGTGAATGAAAAGGATTACCCTGTTCCATTTTTTAAATTATCATTTTCTTGAATAATCTCATGGTTGCTAGTATATAACTCTGTAGTCAGCTGGGATAGACAGGCCATGGGGTATATGAGGAGAAGCATGTAGTTACTAAAATAATTGTACTGTTGGATACCCAGGGTCATGAATAAATGTCTAAGCTGAGTGTGCCCTGGATCCAACAGATCATGGTGACTAATTCTCTGGGTTTGGCTTTGACTCTGTCATGTTCTAATTTTGTTCTCATTAACAAAATACCTCCCTTCTCAGCTGAAGTTTTTTCACTTGCAAAAGTCAGATGCTTGTACCTACCCAGAGAACTCGGTGAATTTGTTGTAAAGACCTGAAGAGATAATAGATATGAACATAGGAAAGAGCTCAGCTGCATGGTATTATGGGACTGCCTCTCCATTTGTCAAAATGCCTTTCTGATTGATATTAATGTAGATTAAGATAACCACTCCACATCCAATCTCAATGCTGGGGCTGCTTAGATCTTTGAGATTGCTTGAGGTGGAGGTGTAGGCAGCTGGGGATTCAAGTACCCTGGTCTGGTGCAGGGACCTGGCTGGTAGTCCTCACATGCAGCCTGGTTCTCCAGGGCCAGGTGGGCACAGGATATACCCCGAGGAGGGATGCTTAGGGCTGCTTGCCACAGCTGCTTACCATTCCTCGTTAGCATTGATGCCCATCATGTATACCTCAAATTGAATTTTCCAGGGTAGAGTGGGGAAAATAAAAGGAATGAAGGGAAACAGACAGATAAGCACATCCCTTGCACGGGTCCACTGTTTACTTACTGTGTGCACCTCATTTCCTAGGAGACATTCTCTCCTGTATTACTCTGAGCAACACTAGTATAAAGTGTATGTGATTGTCTGCATTTACAGGCTCTGCAAGGTTCAGGAATTTGACCCAGAGCACAGAGCTCAAGAGCAGAGTGACACTTCACACTCAGCTGCCAAAATTCCATTGTATTGGACTCTATTTGATATTTTGGGGGATTGGTAGATCAGCCATAGTGGGGCAGCACAACATTGGTACTGGATTTACTGTACTTCATCCTTTGTACCAACTTCAAGTGGCCAGAGGGCAGAAGACCAGGAAGGCTAGATGGAATGGGAACTCGGTTGTGGAGCAGTTTATTTGTTCCCCATCAACAGAGCAAAGTTATGCTTGATTACATAAAATGATTAACCACATGCAGCTACATGTACGTGAATTACATTAATGTGCAGCAGTAAATGCATTCTGTTTGATTTCTCTGCACCTAACTACATTTTGATTTCTCAGAACGTTATGATCTAATATTAACTGGATGGCACATACATGAAATTTTATCGAAATCAGCAGATGTGCCTTGTACCCCGTATATAAACAGGCCTTTCTCTGGGTGAGCCAAAGTGTACGCCACTGGTCTCTGGAAGTGAAAGTTCTGAGACTGTGATACAAGATGCCGATTCTGGCTTCCCTTGCCCAACTGTGAGCACCCCCTACGCTTATGTAATTCAAGGAGGCCCTAAAGTATTTTATCCAGGTGACTTCCTTTCTCTACTAATAGCTCTATTTATGCTCAATTAGGGACATCTGAGAGAAAGACAAAATAAGTAGCCAGGACCACATTGCCGATTCCAGCTGCACCTTCCTACCTGCCCATGGAATCCTTCATCCACATCTTCCAGGGGTCAGTGGAGTGGGGGGTGCCTGACCCTCCCACTGGACTGGGACTGCAGGGAAGACAGAGGCCTTGGCTTTTTCTTTCTGTGTTTTGATGGGATGGATGACATCTAAGTGTGCCACCATGTCATGGGCCTGCTTGGCCCTCAGACACGCACTTGATCTCTCCTCCTTCTGGAGGGCCTTGGATTCTAGAAAGCGCTCAGAAAAAGTGACTGCATAGATTTGGTAGAAGGAGCACAGAGCAAACCAATGGGAAGCTTAGGTTTTCATATCTGCCCTCTCAACGTGGGGAACCACAGACAAGTCACCTTGGCTCTCTGCGCCTCTGTCTCTGCCTCCCAGATGGGGGCCTGCCACTCACAGCTCTGAATGCCTAAGAATCTGTTGCTATTTGTTGTGTATGGTTTTTAATGTCAAACCTCCCCTGTCTCTATGTCTGTCTCCCTCTTCCTCCTGTCCTTCCTCTCAGGTGCATGAGAAACCCGGAGTTTACAGTAAAGGCACAGGAAGAGCTGAATGATGTGTTCTCTTTAGGAAAGTACCTGGTCCCCTCAGGGAGCCAGTGTCTGCCTCAGGAGCCCCTGCCTCCCAGGCTGTGGCTCCTGAGGACTTTCAGTGTAGGCCTGGCAACCCAGCCCGGGCCTTTGATGTGGCTTTGAAACGGCATGAAGCACAAGCAGTCCTAATTCAGATCTGTGAAAAGGCTTGCTGCTTTATGCCAGGGACCCGTAGCTACCCAGTGGTGACAGGGCACAGCCTGAGCATCCATCTGGGAAACGGCACAGGGCACAAACCTCCACCATCACAGTCCCTGTGGTCCCCAGACTTCAGGTGGGACTGGCTTCTTCTTCCACCATAGCTCTTTGTTCCTCTGAAGAGGAAATTAGATGTGCTTTTATGACCTGTATGCACCCTGAGAAGCCACACAATACCCAAAGGACTCTCGGAAGCAATGACACATTGAACATTCAGCTCCTGAATCTCAAAGAGGTACCTATGCTAGAAAGGAGGGAGTCACCATTTGTTTATTCACATCTTGTTTTTCTTGGTAGAAATAAAGATGGTGGATGATCCTAAGGTTTCCATTCATGGTTTCCATTCATTCACTTCATCCATTCATTCCCTAACTTAGCAAAGATTTGGAAGCCTGTGTTACTCATGCCACTGTGCTTAGTCTTCAGTGTACAAAGGCCTTATATAGGTAAGAAGGTAGGTAGATACGGAGATATAATATACATATGGAAGTAGATTGCAATATGGATGTTGTGTAGGTGTGCACAAGTGAAGGTCTAGGTATAGGAACCTAGACTGGACATTGCAAAGCTTAGGATCTGCTGGTAAATCTTTGGCATTGTATAAATGGTGTCACAAATAATCATGGTAACTGCCCAGAGGTAAGCCACATATAAAATGAAGGAATTCTGATTCATTCTGGGGATTAGACAAAGCTTTCTGCATACACAGACATTTGAGTTGAGTTCCAGTAAGAAGAGATGATCCCAGACCCCGGAACCAACACTCTTCAAACCAACTGCAGTGTGGGTTCTGGAGTCAGACTGCCTGAGACTCCAGGTCTTTTCCAAAGGCAAGTAGTTCTGCAAAGTCATTGAGAACCCAGGCTCCGTCCTTGTACAAAGTCCGGTAGCTCCCAGTCCTAGAATATTGCTTTCAGCTTCACACTATGATGTGGCTGCTGATCCTGCAGGCATCACGATGACTTTCACATTTAGGGAAGGGAAAAGGAGTAGCTGGGGGGGCATTTCCCTTGAAAGAAATTATCCAGGAGCTCCACCCCTTCAATTCCACCTACACCTCCTTGGCCAGAACTGGATCTTCCAATTCTAGTTGTAAAGATGTCAGTGGGGGAAGGAGGGGAGGGGTCTTAAACTGAGCACTCTCCTTGCCTCTTGGGACCAAGCCAGAGGAGATCGGGTGGTAAACTAGCTCTGTCTGCCCAGGCTGTAGTTGGTGTTTCTTTCTTTCTTTGTAACCTACCATTTTTGGCGACACTGTCTGGATTTTCTTTTGGGAAGTGAATCTGTTCTCAGAGGGAAGTGCCTGATGCCTGGCCTTCCTGAAACCAAAGAATGGGCTGTCAGACCTTTGAATCGTCAGTAGAAGACCCCAAAGAGGTAAAACCGTTGGAGATGTTCACTCCAAGGCTCTTCAAATCTATTGATGATTTCCTGCCACCCAGAAGCCTGGACGGGCCCAGCATCTGTCCTTTCCAGACCTGGTTTTCTATCTTTCTCTGAGATCTATGGAGCCAGAGTCTCTGTTTCCTCCCCGGATGCCTTCAACATAAGTGCCCCCTTTCCTTGAGCACCCAGCTCTTCATGTGGAGCTCCAGGTGGGTTGGCTTTTCACATTTAGGCAGTTGCCTGTAAGTCTGCCCCCTTCCCCACCCCCACCCCCTACCCCTGAGCAGTAAGCTCCCTGAGGGCAGAGGCTGCATCTAGCTCATTTTTGGCCTCTAGCCACAGGCATGGTGACTGGGATTTATGAGTATGTGGTGTTGCTGGTTTTCACGGCAGGAACTAGACAATAGCAGGGACAGGCAGAAGACAAGAAAGAGTCTTGGCCTTGGAAAGATTCCTGACCATGTTTCCAGAACTTTCCTCCAAATCCTGCTAGCAGGGTGGATGTTGTGACTCATTCTGGAAGTGGTGACTTCTGGAGTTAGCACTCTCTCTCTGTGTGACAGCCACTGCTTCTCCACCTCTTCTTTCTCCTCCACCTTCTCCTCCTCCTTCTCCTCTTCCTCTACCACCTTTCTCCTCCTTCTCTTCTGCCTTTTCTCTCTCTTTGTTGTGGCCATCATCATTCATTGTTGTCACCTCTGTTAACTCACACTGAGCATTTCCCCCATGCCTGCCTGGCCAGTCTGGGCCTTACCTGGGAGGATCAGCCTCTTGCTCTAGATTGCAGGAAGTTGGTGACAGCGCCGGGACTCAAACTCTTTTTAACCCACGTCCTGTCCTTCCCCCTGCCACCAAGGTGGACAGGGAACTCTGGAGAGGCTGAAGAGCCATGTCCCATCACAGTGGAACTCCTTCCAGGAGCCACAGTGCCCCGGTGGTACAGGACGGTTTCTCGGGTATGTGGCTGGGCTTCCTCTGTCTGCAGGAGGCCTCCTTTCCCACTGGTCTCTCTGTCGCACTCCACGTGCCTGAGGTTCTATCTGGAGTCACCCGGGGGCCACACCAAGCACTCTGTGCCTTGCTGGCTGGATGTCTTTGCTAACACTCTCTCCACAAATGGCACCCTTCACGTGAGGCCTGTGTCAACTGAGGAGGGCCCAGGAAATCCTCCGCAGTGGCTCCTTTTCAGGCCTGAGCTCTGTGTGTTTAAACCCGTGGTTCCTCCTGTTTTCTTCTATGGTTTCAGGAAGCCACACAGAGGAGGGACTCAGTCTTTGGAGATAGACGCTCTTTGCTGAAATGCCTTTTCAGTTCCTTCCTCACTTTGGGAATGTTGGTGAGTTCTTTAGCCTTTCGGCACCTCCTCATAGCTATAAAAAAAAAAGGTGAAAATAGTGCCTACTTGGGGGAAATGAGCCAGTGTTATAGGGTGGCTTTTGCCCCTGCCCCTCCCTTGACCACCACTTTCGTTATATTGGCCCCGTCCCAAGGCCAAGGTGCTGGGCACCCCACAGGCCCGGGCTTCTATCACGTATCTTCCAGGGAGCAGATAATCTTTAGTGGCAAGAGCATTAGGAGGACAGCACTGGCTGCCTCTGCTTCTGTCCTGGCCCTGCTTACTCCTGGCCCCAAGGGCAATCGCCTGGCCTCCTGGGGGGTCGTCCCCTAGTGTCTGGCAGGTGGTATTCTAGACACTGAGCCTGAGCATGGAAACCCCACCTCACTGCTACGTGCTACTGGATTTATTAGTAGGTCAGCCGTGGAGGGTTGGGGGAGGAGGGACTCACATGGGGAAGGAAAACAACCAGCTCCAGGGAGGGTCTGCCCCTCTCTGGTGCAGTTCCCCTGTAGAATGAGTTGGCATGACTCAGTCCCTGCAGCTGCTCTGGTGCAGCAGTAGCATCCGTTGGTTGGTTTTGGCCTCTGGTGCCACATGGTGTTGTGCAAGGGGTCATGGTTGGTGGTGAGTCATCCTGAGCCACAGGAGTCTGGGATTTGCGGGGGTGGGGCAGAGAGAAAAAGGACCCATCCAGGGGTCTGCTCAGGGGGGGTACGTGGCATCCACCTGGGAACACTCACTGGGAACTCAGTATCAACTGGAATCTTGAAGACATCCAGCTCAGCCTTTCCATATCATCCTCAAGATAAGCAATCAGTATTCATGGAGCACCTACTGTATACCTTTGTGATGCTATTTGGGAGTATTTATATTTTTTTCTGTATGTTCACTTGTATTATTCCCATACTTCTCATCAGACACAGGATTATGGTTGATCCAAAGAGCCTCTCTTATTTTACTAATTTTAGATCACTTTGGTCTCTTCTCCCAACCTCCTCCTATCCCACCACAAGAATATGTGTAAATCTTTAAAAGTGTGCATTGTGTATCGTGAATGGGTGAGCTTTCACTAAGTGATGGTGTGCTACACATCTTGTTCACTTTCTTACCTCTTCCCTCAATGTTTTATTTCAGGAATCTATGCACATCAGTGGGTGAGCTTCTAGCTGACATTTCTACAGCTGCCTGTCTCCTGTGTGAAGCCACAGGACTTTCTGTGTATGGCCTCCAGCTTCCGTGACTGTGTGTATGTCCTCTGTCAACTTTCCCCCATTTTTTTTTTCACAAACAGCCACCTGCTACTAACGGAGAAAGTTTTGGGTGCTACGTGGTGTTGCTATTAGTAAAATGGAACTATATAGCACTATTGCCTGGAGATCAATGTGGTTGGCCCTACTACACCATTATTGCCTCTCTTTGCTTGCTAAGCTTCCCCTTTATAATAGAAAAAAAAAAGCTGCCTTCAGGCTAAAATATTCGTAGGTAGCACATTCTCCCTGAAATTAATTATGTTGAAAATTTAATTAAAATGTAATTTAACAAAATGTACTTATTTAAATGGTTCCTTCCATTATTAATAAGCAAAGCCAGTTTTCTATTTAAAGAAGTGACATTCCATATTTAATAGAATCTAAAATGCCACTGATTATGAAAGCATCATTATTATATATTCTACTAAGAAAGAAAAACAATTCTAATTAAACCCTCATAAGCCATCGATAGTAACAAAGCATGCTGCTTTCAAAGCTATTAAAATTTGAAGACATGTATATCTGTTTCTGTTTCCTTTAACAAACAAAGTTATTCGAGTAAAGAAGAGGACTGATTTAACAGAAAGTCAATAAAGGACGCCTTGGTTTTAAGTGAACTTAGCAGAAATGACGTGAACACAAACTTGCTTGGAGTTTGGGAAATGGGCTCATCTCACATAGGTGGTCCTTATACCTGCCTTCTAAGGGAGATGTTGTCATTTCTGTTTAGCAGATGGGACAACTGGGGCAGGGAGCAGTGGCCTTCCTAAGACCACAAGGTGAAAGGAAAATCTAGGCTTAGCCAGGGGGTCCAAGTACCCACTTTCGGTACCAAAAGTCCATGGAACTGTGAATGGACTCCAGCATGGCCGGTCTGCTGCCCCTCCTCTGTGAGGCCCTGACAGGCTCAGAGCATGGCCCCTTTCCCCCAGTCGTGGTCCCTTTCCCACAGGGGCTGCATTGCCCATGCAGAAGCATGTGATGGCAGATGGACATTTCCAGAAAGGCATCCAGGGAGGGATGGGGACAGAACACCCCAGGAACAGTTGTAGGAATATTAGGCTCTTTTAGGTTGCTGAAGCCACTGTCTATTTTGTTGTTGCTGTTGTTGTTTGATCCTGAGCTCAATTACATGAGTAGGTATTATTCCCATTTTACAGATGAAAAAAACTGACAATGTTAATTTGCCGCTACATTCACAGTTAATAATTAGTCGAACCGTAATGCCGTGGATTTACTGCCTCCTTTTTAAAATCAAACTTTGTGAATTCATTGTAGATTTGTGTGCCCTCATAAGAAATAATAAAGAGAGAGAGAGAGATCTCAGAGATCTGGCATACTCCTAGATTTACCACTTTTCCCTGAGAGTAACATTTAGCAAAGTTATAGCAGAATGGGGGGACTGGGATGCTGGCATCGAGACGATCACACACAGAGCCTTGCCTTACATCTCTCTCCCGGAGTCGCCCTTTTCCAACCACCACACTTTCCTCCCTCTCCTGCATCCTTCCATCCCTGACTCCAGGCAACCCATCATCTAGTCTTCATTTCTATAATCTTGTCACTTCACGCATTATGTATGAAATCAGGTACTATCTGACCTCTAGTGACTGACTGTCCTCACTCAGCATAATTCCTTGGATATTCAGGAAATAATAGCTCCTTTTAATTACTGAGTACTATGCCACAGTATGGTGGCACCATAAGGACATCTGGGTTGCTTCTGTATGAATAAAGTTTCTTTAAATAGTCTTATAGAGGTTTTTGTGTGAGCATAAGTCTTTGTTTATCTGGGATTAATCCTAAGAGTGCAATTGCTGGGTTATATGGTAGTTGTGTGTTTAGTGATATATCTGTATATATCTGCATATTCTGTTTGGTGAAATATTTTTTTTTCTAAATTCCTTTTCACTTCTCCCTTATTTTTTTTGTTTGTTTTCCTCCAATATCCTTTTTAAAAGAGATTTGAAATTTTTATTGATATGATCTAGCTTCATATGCAATTATAAGAAGTAATAGAGATCAAGAAAAAAGATTAATAACCTAACTTAAAAATGGGATGAAAAGATATTTAATGAAAAATGAAAAGAAATAATGAGAAAAATAAAAAAATTCTCAAAAAAATACACAATGGTCAATAAGAACATGAGAATATGCCAAAACTCATTAACAACAACAAAAAAATGAAATTGAAGCCTTATTGAGGTACCCTTTCATACCAATTAGATTGGTTATGATAAAAAAGAGACAATAACAAGTATTGATGAAGATAGGGGGGAGTTGGACCCTCACATGCTGCCAGTAGGATTGTAAAATGGTGCAGGTTGTTTTAGAAAAACTGACGTTGACAAAGGTTAAGCACAGTTACTGCTGATCCAGCAATTCCACTAGAAGGTATATGCGCAAGGGAATCGGAAACACGTCCACACAGACACGTGCACATGGAAATTATCCATCATAACCCCCAGCTAGACAAGCTCTGATGTCCACCAAATGATAAGTCGATAAATAAAATGTGGTCTATCCTTACCATGGACTGTCATTTAGCAGTAAAAAGAAGTGAAGTATGGGTGTATTCTAGAATGAACGTTCAGCAAAAGAAATCAGTCATAAAGGACCATCTGTTTTACAACTCCACGTATATGAAATGTCCCAAATAGGCAAATCTGTAGTCACAGAAAGTCGATTACTAGTTTGTCTAGGGCCTATGGGAAGGGGGTTTGGTAATCAATGGCATCAGGTTGTGGGGTTTCTTTGGGGGATAGTGAAAATGTTCTAAAATTGATGATGGTGATGAATACACAGCTCTGTGGATCTGCTAAAATTGTTGGGACTGTGAAATTTATGTGAGGGAATTATATGGTACGGGAGTCATTTCTCAATAATCCTGGGTTTTTTTTTTTTTTTTTTTTTGTTGTTTGTTTGTTTTTTGAGAACGAATACAGAGAGAACCTGTGTACCCTTGACCCAGTTCCTCCAAGGGTAACGGTTCACCACACTCCAGTGCGTTAAAGAATTGAGATAATTCATTCATCTTAACTGGGTACCGGCTCTTTGACTGACACTCACCTCTCAGTCTCTGGTATGATTCTCCACGTTTTGTCCAGTGGGTAGGTCTGTGCTCCACTGCCCCTGGTCGAGACACTGGACAGAATCCTGTCTGTCTGAAGCTGTGTTCTTCCTCAGTTCTGTTTGAAGTGGCTGCTCGAGCCCTTGGCTTTTCTCAGTGTTCATCGCCAGACACAAGGCAGCGCCCCATTGGGTTCCAGGGCTTCCCGTCAGGCAGAGGGAGCTCCTTTGGTTGTCAAAAGGCAGAATCATGGTGGGGTGTGAATTCCCACCCACGCAGAAGGGAAGAAATGTTGGAATCTAGATTCTAGAACCACCCACACGGCTGAAAGGGTAGGAAATTATTTTACCAAAGGGAGAAACGTGAATTCTGGGAGGGGGATACGCCCCCAGACCTCCACACCCTGCTTTCTCCTCCCACCAATTTCGGAAAGAGTCAGCGCTTTTGGAGATCTGGTGTTTATTAGGTTGCCACCGGCAATTGCTCTCAGGGACAAGACTGGCAATGATTCATCTGTACTAATCCCTGTGTCTTCATCCGCCGTGCTTCTGTGCAAGGGGACAGCCCCGTGCGTACTTCCACATCATCATCGCTTCGGTTTCTCTCAAAATGTTTAATCAGAAAAAGCCCAGAGTTTGGCCTCGGTTCACTTTGGGCTTCCAGGGGAATTTCCCATCCCTCTTGGACTCCATGGGTGAAGTTGCTTGAAGGTTGGTTTGTCCTTACAACAGCACAACATTTGGCAAGGCTGGCCGCAGCGCACGTCTTTTGGATCAAAGATAGAGTTAGTCGAATCACACACTTTGGGACAAGAAGTGGGGAAAGGAATAGCTTCATTACTATCTGTCTCTTGCCTGTGACCCCACAGCCCCCAGTCACCTGTCCTAGTCTACCTGACTACATTCCTGTCCCAACTTGACTCCCTCCCGGGTCCTATAACTCCTACCGCCTTCAAGTCCATTATCCCACAGAACAGGTACTTGACATCCTTCGTGAAGATCAGAGTCTTACAAACTGGTTCTACTAGAGAAGAAAAGGGGTTGCTAAATTCCTTCGTCTCCCATTAATCACATCAAAAAATTTTAACATATGCCTCTGTATGTGATTAAGGCATCAAGTTGGAAGTTGGCTTGAGTTGTTGTTAGTCAGTGTCCACCAGAAAAACAAAACCAATAAGCTGCATGTGTATACACACCAACAGAATGCATAGGACAGGGAGAGAGGGAAGGAGGGAGGGAGAGAGGCAAGGAGGGAGGGAGAGAAAGTATGGAACTGGCTCTCATGACTGCAGAGGTTGGCAAGTCCTAAGTCTGCAGGGAGGCCTGAGGCCCAGGGAGAAGTGGGTGGGGCACTTAGGGTCCGCAGGCTGTCTGATGGCAGATTTCCCTCTTCTTTGGGAAGGTCAGACTTTTCCTTAATGCTGTCCACTGATTGGATGAGGCCCCCCTCACACCATGGAGGGTAATCTGTTAATCCTATGTTGAAAATACCTTCACAGCAATATCCAGACTTGGATGTTGATCAAATACCTGGGTATCATGGCCTAGCCAAGTGGACACATCACATGCACCGTCACACCAGCCTAGGGCTTTATGAAAAGGAGAAGGCAGGAAGGGAAGGAGAGGGAATTGAACCACCCCATGTTGTAGTCTGTCACTGCCTGAGCATTTGATTCAGAAAAGGGAAGTGCTTTCGATACAGAAGAAATACCCAGAACAAAGGGTGGTTCCTTTCCACTTTCCTTGGGAGCCAACCGGCAAAGAACCAACCCTGGCTGCTCTCCTAACATCCACAGCACCTCCAGGTCAACTTGGCACTGTGGAGCCTGTCAGGGCCCAGGGCAGTTTAGTGGTTGAGCCCTCTCCAACTGTGCCTGGCTCCTGTTACTCTGGACAGCACCTGGAAGCAGCTGGGAGCTGGGGTCAGCTCTCACTAGACAGTCTTACAAGAGGAGGCAGAAGCAGTTCTGCAGAAAAGGCTGCAGAGACAAAAACCAACCTGAACCGAGGGTGAAGGCATCCTCATTCAGACTTCAAAAAGGTCTAGAGCAGTGGGGATGAGTAGCCAGGGAGAGCTGGAATGGGACCAAGGGCAGAGAGAGCATGAGACAGCGGACTTCAAGTTTCCAGTGCTGACTTGCAATTTCCAGTCGCAAATTCAAGCAGGGATGGCTGCGAGTAGGTAGGTCAAGGGTGTTATTTCTCACTCCTTGGTTGGCCAAGCTTTCTGCCTCAGGCCCTGTGTTCCAGACCACCAGGTACCACCTTGGAGAGGAACTGGATGCCAGGTGGACCATCATTGTTTTAGTGTTTAAACATTTTTTTTAAGAGAAAGAGAAGTTCTAAGGAGTCTGTTTAAAATCATTGGCTTAAACTCCATATATATTATACAGAATTTCAAGTCCAGATTTTGTCTGCTCACTGACACGGAGAGGAGAATTCATGAGATGAAGCAGGGTAAATCAGAGCTGACGTGTGATTGCCTCTGCGACCCTGGTACTTTGGTAAGTGGTGAAGCTGGAAGTTGGAACCCTAGGTCTTTGTGACTTCAAACCAAACTCGGGTGATGCATCCCAGACACTGTCAGCATGATGGACCAACATGCCCATGAGCTCCCCTGGGTGACTTGTACTGGGGAGCCCTGACCTCTGGCTATGGCTTTCAACAGTACCCTAAGAATATGTTGGGCTGACAGGACACCATCTTCCTTGTGCAACTCATTACTACACTTTCATTACGTGTATTTTGAGAACTCTAAAGAATACAGGAAGCCGTTAAGGAGAACATCACATATCCTACCACGATCCAAATTTAAACAGACTAAGACTTTGTCACATTTGTCACCAGTCCTTTTAAAGCCTGTGGAGCATTGTGGATGACATTTCTATTGCTTCTGGTCCATTACCCTGCACCCATTTTCCTTCTACCTCTCCCAGAAGCCACAGGTTCTAGTTCATTAAAAATATTTTTCTATACACAAATGCATACATCCATGAAAAACGCAAAATGTCTCATTTTAAAATTTAATCAAATGCTTCTAAACTGTATGTATGATTTGATCACTGCATTTCCCCCTTAATTTTAGCCTTCGAGACTACATATTGATGATTCTGGGTATTCATCTATTACATTTTATTCATATCCTTTTGATGGACATTGATATTTTTTCAGATTTTTAAATTGGTAGCCAGAATTGCAGGGGACATCCCCGTCTGGGTTCTGTAGACTCCTGAGCACATCCCCCTCTGCCGTGCCCCCAGAAGTAGAAGGACTGGCTTTCTCATGCTTGACCGAGGCATCACACTAGGGGATCAATAGCTGGTGTATATGCCTGTCTACCCCACCTGAATGCTGATTCCTAGAGATCAAAAGTTTCATTGTATTCATTTCTGTGTTGCCAGGGTCTAACACATGGTGTTGTGATAAATGAATAAAAATATGAATAAATGGAATGCCTCCGTCCCTCCCCCTGATTCTGCAGAGTCGCTTAGTCTCTCAATCTAGCCTGGTGCAATAAAGGGAATTCCCAGCCCTTGCTTACGACGCATGCTGCTAGTGTTATTTCAGTCACCTACTGAAACTTTAATTAAGATGCACCACTTTAGAAGCCATAAACTGGAGGCTGAGAAAGGCAGAAGTAAAGATGAGATGTGAACCCAGGTCCACCCCAATCCAGAGCCTGTAGCTTCTCTACTCTCTTCTGTCATGGTTCAGAAGGTGGGATTTGGTCTACGGAAATGGTCTGATCTTTTTCCTATATAAACACAACATCAGCTTCATCAATTCTCTCCCCTTTCAATGAAATCTTTTTATTTTCCCTTCAGAGTCTGGGGAAATCACCTTCATTAATTATCACACGGCTTTGACTAATTGACCCACATCCTTCTCTCTTGTGTTTTGAGTCTATGTGTTAGAATCCTAAAATGCAAGCAGGATGTTTTAGTGAAGCCAGACCCTAAATTTTGGTGATGGAGCTGAGGAGATGTGCTCAGGATGACATAGTGCACGAGAAGCCAATGTATGGTCAGTACCAGTTCTTTTGAGGCCAGGTCTTTGATCAGTCTTTGGGTTATCTGATAGGGATGGCTCTCCTCTAGCAGGCAGTGGAGCTGGGTGGGATGTGGCTTTGCTTTCTCACTGGCTTTAGGGGCATTGAAGAAGAGCTCTGGGCAAGGACTGGGGATGGGAAATGGACATCACAGAACTCAAGGAACTTGACAGTGAAGTCTAGCTTGGAAAGAGCCAGATGGAAATTGTAGAGGATGCTGAGTTTGCTAGACCAAGGTCAGAGGAAGTGGCAGACTGGACCATGGAGGGACTGTATTAGTCAAGGTCGGCTAACCGTTGTAACAAAGGGCTCCCTACGCTCAGGGGCGTAACACTATAAACATGTATTGCCTGCCCGCACAGGGGTCTGGTGCTACTGGAGAGTTGGATCTCTGCCCTGCGCAGTTGTTCAGAGAATCAGGTTATTTCCATCTTTAGACTCTTCCCTCCTGAACACACAGACTGCAAAGTCAGCGTCAGAGGTAATAGGAAGCTTGAGGTGAGTCAAGGTGAGTTGGAGGCAGACCTTGGACTAGAGTGGGAATTCTGGTTCCATCTCCAATGGTGGCTATTTCTAACACACAGTCCAGCCTCTCAACATCTCTGCTCCTCAGTTAACTCCTGAAATGGGAAGACAGCTTGCCCTGCCCACCCTCAGCATGGTGAATCCAGGCCCTGGATTGGTTTGTGCATGGGTGTGTGTCTACAGATAGAATGATTCCTGTGGGGTTTTTTTCTATACGGCAAGGAGCCAACCACCCTGCCCACCCTGACCTTTCCCTTCTGCCCCTGAAAGGAGATGACACAATTGAGAAAGGTTCCTCCTGATTGGAGAGAGAGCTGCAATTTGACCTCTTGGGGCATAAACTCTGGCTGTAAGATTGCAACCTAGGGAACATCTCCCCTCCTTGGTCATGCCGATGAATCCATGCTCTATGTGCATTCTGACACTGGCCATCAATTCCTACCTCCTCCAGCCCCTCCCACCTGCCACCTTCAAGTACAAGTTCAGGGTCAATCCTTGACCATGAACCATGGAAGCAGCACCACCAGTCCCCGGTAGGGTGGCTGGTTGACCAGAGGATGGAATTTGGAATCCAGTGACCCTGGATTTGAATATTAGTTCTAGTGCTTAATGGTCTCACTTTCTGCATCTATTAAATGGGGAGAATAACTTGTAAGGTTGTTTTGAGGCCCAAGTGAGCTCATTATGAAAACTGCTTAGCAGACTAACTGTAAACAGGCAGCACTCAGGAAAGCTGCGGTTATTTTTATGCCATATCCAATGTGCTAGAGGTGAGCTCTGGGCACTTGCATAACAGTTGAGTGAAACCTTCATCCTGTGGCTTCCCTGCTGGCCCTATTTCAGCCTTCTGGCTCAGTGTCCCTCTTCTGCTGTTCCCAATTCTTGCCCTCAAACTTAGCTGAGGTCTAAAAGATCTCTCTGACCCTGATGTAGTCACATCCGGTGCCCCTTCTCCCCTCTCTTGCTCCCATGGCACCCGAGGTCCTGTCTCAGGCCTTCCATGGAGACCTTCACCATCATGCTCTCCCAGGCACTGGGAGACTAGGGGCTGGAATCTAGGGCTTTTTCATGGGCTGGAATCCATTCTGGCCTCATGGATTCCATTCTGGTTCTCATATGTTCTGACTACAGTGAGCTCCCTTCTCAGATTGTCAGACCTCCATCAGAACCTGAGACAAGGGCTTGACAGCTGATCTCAGGACACAGGAGTGAGAGAACAGGCAGGGCGAGAGAGAGGAAGGAAAAGTGAATATGTGTCGTGCTCTTCAGTGGGTTTCTGCTCTGGGCAACCAGGGCTTGGTTCCACAGAGGTGAGAGCCATATCAAATATGTGTCTCCATTATCTTGCTGCAGGACAGGAGCCTCTCACATCTGTCATTTGCTCCCATCCGTCACCGGTAGAGGGTCCTCCAGGGATGTTCCACTTTGAAACTGATCCTGGTTCAGATGGGAGAGGATTCCCAGGATCCTGAGAAAGCCTCACAGAAGAGAAGCAGAGAGACTGAGAGGCACACTGAGAAGGGAACCTGTCCACAGGTAATATGATGTGGACACAGAAAGCGTCTGCAGAGCTGTTTGACACAGTGAGCTGTTGCCCACTCTAGGCCTCTTGCACAGATTGTACCCTGGATCACACTAAAGGTCTAGGCACACATGACCTCCTTCCAGAGAGGAATTTTCTGAAATCTTCCGAAATTTTCTGAAATCTTGACGGTTGCCTACCTGTGCTTGGTCCATCTCATGCTACTTTTCTTCCCGTGACCCTTTTCTGATGGACAGGCCAGTGTGGCTTAAAATCTACCAACATGTGAGTGTCGCTAGGTTGTGGGACGGGATCAAGCAAGACTGATACCAGACCCTGCCTGCTTTGTTATAAAAGGAGAGGGACCATATGCCAATGGAAGAGTGGGAAGCGGCACAGAAGAAATGCCGTGGCTTCAGTTGACTATCATGTGTGGAACAGAAGAGTCAGGAAGTGAGGGGAGGGAAATCTAGAGTCAGGTCGGGCACTGGAAACAGGGGAGCAACCAGCAGAGAGTTACTGGGCAGCAGGACTAGGACTTGGGCAGAGACCAAACAGGCCTGGTGTTATGTCTTCAGGCAGTGAGGGGCTGGCAGGATCATCTCTTGGGAGTGGATACCATGCATCTTCTGGTCCTGGAAAATTTGATGGCACTTCTCTGTGTCTGGGTTCTCCTCCCTCAGTGTGGCCATGCAGAAGATGTCATTGAAGGTTGGGAGAAGTGACCACTTCCTTCATGTCCCTGATGAAAACGCATGTCCATTCCATTGCATTCATCTCAAAACTCTGAAGGTGATGTGAATCTAGAACCTGGAAATAGGCCTTTTTTTTTTTTTTTTTGTTTTGTCTTGGCACAAAATAAAATAGCTTGTGCAGATTGTTTTTCCTGCATCCTGTAGAGGCCCCTGGAATTCTTGAGAGTCTGGGCTGCAGAAGAGCAGGGAAGTATCTGTCCTGGTTTTCTGAGCTGCTCTGGGGAGCCACTG